CCCAATATATCACAGCCACAAAAATTAATAGGTGCTTTTTCATATCCCCTTTGTGTTACACTAGAGTGTTTGTCCTAGAAAATATCATCCTTAGTCAAAACTGACCAAAGCAAACAGTTGCAGTTAAAGCTCACTTGTGTGAGGCAGTTCTTTACTTTTATGTGTGTAACGGTAAGTTGAGCAAAACCGGTTGTTTTTGCTCTGGCAAGACTCCAAAACAATTGGTTGGGATTTAGATAACATCTGTTTGTTGTTATGGAGACTTCTGATTGGAACTGCACAGGTTGGTGCAATTCAGTCAGCTATTTTGTCTGTTTTCACAGTAGAAATGGTCCATATAACTGACTCAGACTCCACTATTCCTGGGCCCCTTTCAGTTGTTGGTCCATCAGACAATGAGACTCTGTGGTGAAAGTGGTGCTACTGGCGTAACACAACACAGTTCATTGATTGGGGGAGAGAAAAATGTCACGGCTCGCGACAAACACAAGACATACTATTATGGTACTTATTTCTACCTGTATGATTCCACATAAGGTGTTGGGTTTCAACACTGGAATTGGAAACACTTTCCGGAATATGGTAGATCATAAACAAGTGTACCAAATGGCACTGCTCACTGGAAACAAGGCATGCCACTCTTTACTGCAGTTTTCTAACAGCGAGGGTCTTTTTTTTTTTTTTTTACAGTTCTTATCATCCTTTGTCTGCTTGTGCAGCTTTATTTTTCACAGTTTTAGTTCATTTAAACTTTTAAACTATTGCTATGATTGCAAATATCAGTAGGTCTTGGCAAGTAGCCGTTTTCTTAAACCTTACTTTTTAGAGTATTGAAGATAAATTCACATCTATCTTGATTGACATGTTCTGTTGAGTTTCCCAATGAGGGAAGGCAAATAGAAATGTTAGATTTTGTTAGGACCTCAGAGGAACACTAAAGGGGCATTATATATGGAAAACATTCAACTGTGCAAAAACCTGGGTAGGCCTTTGACGCACTGTTCCTCCTCCGAGTTGCAGCCTCGCAGAGTATCCGTCACTTCCCCTCTGAGCTCCTTCAGACTAGCCAGCATCAATTAGCAAACACCTGGTGGAACTGGCCATCAGCTGAGCTTATTATGTGAACTGCTTATCAGTGCAAGGCTGGTAAAAACTTTGTTAAAGTGTTGATAGAAGAGCATTGTTGTGATGACTTCAGAAAGAGCTAGCGTTTTTAAAGAAACAGAGACCCAATTTTAAAGCATTAAATTATAAAGTCAATTTTCTTTTAAGTCATATTTGATAGTAATAGCATTTGCACAGCAACTGAAGGTAAGATAGTTACTTGATAGTGCTATAAAATTGCACTATGTGCCTGGAAAGTACACGGTACTGCCCTTTTCAGTCATGATTCACTATTTTACGATTCAACCATCAAAAAACATATAAAACACGTGAATAACTTTTAGTTTAGAGAAATTATCAGTGGCGTCACCGAGTTGACCAAGGGTGATTTTGTTAAAAACAAGTTCTAACATTCTTTTTTTTTTTTTCTAATTAAAAAAGTACTCAAGTCAAAGATTGGATTTCTATAAATATTTTCATGATAGATTTAGCTGCTGCAATAAAAGGAGAATGTATTAAAAGACACTATTTTGTTCTGGCCTGTCCACAGGTTGGACGGAGAGGTAAAATGTCAAGTCAAAAGTATTTTTTGTGTAGATATCGAAAATAAGCCTATTTCTCAGCAAGTCTGTCATTTTCAGCCCAACATCTTCATTTTATTCACTGAACACCCAGCTTCAGTTAGAGGTATATTCCCGGAGAACATGGTCCATATTCACAAAATACTAAAGCAAGACTTGTTTTAATGATTAGTTTCTGACTAAATTGTTCCTCTCCTTAAAGTGAACTTTAAATTCTTGTGAAGATAAAAGTAATTATCTGCACATTAAAGCCCTCAAGAGAAATCTGAAGCTAAAACACCGTTGGGAGTGGCTATTGGACTTTTATGAGGCTTTCGAGTTTCTCGAGGAAAAGGGAAAATAGGGAAATTGCTTCAAATTAGATCATGCTGCAGGGATCATGTTTGTGGTTGAGCTCATTAGATATGTTCTCACATCTCCCACCCAGTGTTATAAAGCTTGAAATAAATGTGATCACAGCACTAATACTTTCAGCATATGGAAAACTGCAACACTCCACATGTGGGACTCCCCTCTTACATATATCATCAGTTTTACAACTTCTTTTTAATTGTGTTCAGGCTTGTCGCACGTAATAGGTAAAATAATTTACTTGACAAGAAATGTGTTAAAAAAAAACATGAAGAGTAAACATGAGCAACGCAGATGAAAACTCAACTATAACACAATTTTTTACCTAAGACAAGTGAAGATTTATATGAAGATTTTTCTATTGAGAATAAAAGCTTTCTTAGAATAATAGCTTGAAAAACTAGCCATATACCACCCCATAAACCTTGCATGATGCTCAGTGGTGTGCAGAGTCTGCCTTGAATTAGTCTCTGTAGCAAATTGTCATTTGTGATTTAAAAAAAAAAGAAAAAAAGGGATTTGAAACATCATATTTCTAGCAGCATTCAAATAGATTATTTTTAAACAGTTATCTGTATATCAACGTTTTTACAATTTTGACTATAATAATCTAGCCATGCACAGTGATTGTGCAAGTCTCACTTTTCTCCACATAACCAGTGCCTGTTTTAGTAATTATGTATAGCAATGTAGTTCTCAAAACATTATTATGATGAGACACTCAATCTTACCAGTCACTTCAAGCTAATGAATCTCAAGTTGAAGGGACTTTCTAATTTTGACATAAAATCACAATGCAGCCCAAGTAAAATGGTCTCCTTTCTTTGGCCCGGACCGAGAGAAAAACATTTGCAGCTGAAGCTAATTACATAAATGTAGAAGAATTGTTTGGAATAAGCCATAATTGATTTAATGTGATCTGCAGACATCAGGAGACGTTTTGTACCAACTGAGGACACAAAAAGTGAAAAACAGAGCACCCAACTAAGCTCCTCCAGAAGAGCAGTAGCAGTGAGTCGGAAAGAGCAGAAGCTTCTTAAAGAGACAATGGCCCAATTTCAAGGCTTTAAAGTCAAATGCCTTTGAAGTCTTATTTGATATATACAGCATTTTCATAACGATTGAAAATAACATAGTTAGTTGATTGTCCAAGTAACTATGACTTAGGTTGTCCAATTCAAATTGACTTAATTTTTTCTCATCTGAACCCATAGTAGCTCTTTTTGGCAAAGTCATTTGATGACTTAAAGCTGTACATGTACCACTTGACACCACAAATAATGTTTTCCATCATACCAAGGTCTGTAATTTCACCAGAGGACTCCCAAATGCCATCTAAGTAACCCAGAACCATTGAGGGGCTTGATAATCCTTATGATGAAATATGTAGGTGGACAACATCATTATATCCCAACTCCCGTTTCCCCTGCTTGCCTTCTGATCAAAAGTCTGGGTGGACAATGATAAGCTCATGCTGTGCGGAAGTGACTTTGCCATTTGAATGCATCTGCGTTGGAAGGAGCAACATCTGGCTAAGCCCAGGAAGCGAGGCAGGATGCTTGCAGGCCAGGTGTCAGCATTAGCAATGGAACTGAGCCAACCATAACTTGAATTGGAAACTATCTGGGTTTGGTATATATGTCTATCCTTTTACCACCATAAACATCAGAGCCTGTTGTTTCCTTGTCACTCTAAACGCTTAGGACCCACCCTTTAGACTCAGCATCTGGGTGAGCAGCTGGCAGCTGTGTGTGCTGCCTGGAGTCTTTTGAAATGATGACGTGACAGACCATTATCAAATGTTTGCCTCCTTTCCCCCCTTTTCATTTGGTGTCCTGTCCTTATTAACAACAGGAATGTTCTCTTTAAAAAAAGAGAGACTTGCACAGGCTTGTGCACAGCTGGGACAGGGTGTGTGTGCATGTGTGTGTGTGTGTGTGTCTACTTTTGTTTTTGCAAGTGTGTGGGCATGTGGATATTTGTGTCCAATATGCTTATTGCCAGACAATTGCTTCGTGTCTGTAGCTCAATTGAACATTTTCACTGTGTACATATGTAATTTGTGGCTTCATAACCACATATAATAAAGTAATGAATGGCTTATATCTTCACTTGGGCTTTGATTACAACCTTAAGTAGCTTGTAAGATCGCAGGTGTGTTTTGTGGACCAGCTCCTCTGATCTGTCCGGCAGGGTTTGTCTTTGTCTCACTCTGTCTGTCAGGGCAGATCACTGTGATCCAGATGTTTTGGCGTGGGGCGGAACCCCGCATTCCACAATCAATCCCAAACTCCAGGTAGGCCTGTCTGTCTCCTCCTTTCAGGTCACATGAACTCGATCTTCGAAGTTGTGCAACTGACCCAAAATCAAATGCTCACTGGGACACAATATGCCCTTTTCGGGCATGGTTTGACTCAGTTCATCGACTCTTGCTTTAGTACTTCCTCCCCATCCAGTGGAAGTTTCAGGACGTTTCCCTTTAGGTGGCCACAGGAGTTCCTAATCTAGACAAGCATACCCTGGGGGTGATGGAAAGATCTAATCCAGACACCTTTTTAGACATACAAGTACATACACAGACAAAGTGGGAGTAGTAATTCTTTTCCCTTTTGGCTGCCTGTTACGGTGTACTGTCTAGTCTTGTGAAATGTTGTTACTGTCTAGCTGAGTCTCAGTGATTGGTGGGGCTCTTTGCAGCAGATGTCCTGTGAGCTTAAAGAATTTTATGGTGTTATTAAATTCATTAAAACAAAAGAGCCTTAAATTTGTTTTACCTCATCTATAAAATCAGTTTGACAAAGCTATGACCTATGCAGCATCTCTCAAGAGTTCATTTAATTTGATTTCACAGTGATCAACATACAATACGTTTTGATGGGTGTGTCTTCCTTCACTGTGTTTATTTGTTGGAAGTTAATCAGAATTTTTTTTTTTTTTTTTCTGTTTTGATTATGTGATCTCCAGAACCCAAGCAAGACGAGGACCTTCGTACTCCTCGCCTCAGCAGAGCGGGACCTCCCGTACCGTGAAGCGTTATCCATCGTCCTCTGAGCCCATAACCTCCAATGCTCTGCCCAACGGCAACGGCTTTGCAAACAGCCATGGCAGTGAGAACAGAAACTGGTACTCCCACAGGAGCAGACAAAGCAACACCCCGTCCCTTAACGGTCAAAGGTCTCCTAGTGACAGCCATTTGCAGGGACAGTTCAACAATGTGTTGCATCCAGCAGGTAAGATCAAGAAACTAATCATTTCTATACCATTTCTGTTCTAAGAATATTTCATTTTAGTCTTCCAATTTTACCAGGTTATTAATTACCAGAAAAAGAAGCAACATCACAATGTATGTGTAAGACACAGAGATGTTTTGGAAGGAAAAACTAAAAGTTTACAGAGTCAACATTTTAAACTGTCTATTGCAGCTCATGTTTTTATTAGAGTGATTGGAGCTGTTTGCATTAATAAAACAGCAGCCTCAATTGTATTCCCTTGATGATGGAGATTCTTACCTCAACTGTGACATCTGCAAAAACTTAATAGATTTGGTTTTCTAAGTTTAGAACAGGCTAGGGCAAATTGAGCTAAAAATCATCTTATTCTGGTCTCCAGACAACTTTTATAAGACAAACACACTCTCATAAACTGGAATATAAGCCCATTAGCTTCTGTGGTCTGCAGGACTCAGGCAGATGTTTTGTATCATTGCTGCATTCATTGTATATCTTTGCATTAACCTCTCTGTAATAACAAGCAATGATCTCTGGTGCTTCTTGCAGCAGAAACAATTTGACCTTATTATTTCTACTTTTTACTCTCAAATAGGTTATCCAGTGCAAACAGCTGTCTGAAGATCTGGCTTCTGTTCTTTTTCTTGTTTTGTGCCAGGTCTGCGGCTGTTGAGCATATTCCCACCATTACACCATGTTCACATGCACTTACTCTCTCTTTGTCTCCATGACACATACACACATCCACAACACCTTCTCCTAAAGATAAAGTGCTCTGGAGCCTCGCCCATCACCTAGCAGTTCTCTCCTCCAGCCCCTTCCCCCGGCTTGTGCCACATTGCTCATTTGGCTGTAGCGTGCTACTGGCCAACCGTCAGCACACACCCTTACGCTCTTAAAAACCGTCTGTTCGCCTGGATGAAGAGTGTGTCACTGTGAGGCTGAAGTGGAGGAAAGATGCAGCTCTTCTTAAGCCCATTTCATCTCCTGTCGCTGCTTCTTCTCAAGCAGATGTGCTGGTGTCTTCCAGGGGCTAATCTCACCTCCAACCTCGACCGGATTAAGATCGTCTTCACACCTATGCTCTGCCGAAGAGTGTGCAGCGGCGGGCGCTGCTACAACAGCTGTGAGAAGGGAGATGTTACCACTGTATACAGCGACAACTCGCAGCAACAGCAGCAGCAACAGCAACAGCAGCAGCAGCAGCAGCAGCAGCAGCAGCAGCAGCAGCAGCAGCAACAACAACAGCCAAAGAACCAAGGCTTCAGACTCTGTAAGTTTTGAATCCCGGGCCTCAACTCCTGCGTCTCTTCTGTCTCATATACGTGTTTTGTTTTTTGGGGGGGGGGGGGGGGGGGTTTTTTTTTTTTTTTTTTT